CCAGGAAATTATTTTCATCTGGAGTGCAAATTAGGCCCAAACACAGATCCCCCCCCCCCCTCCCCCCGCACCCACCCCCACCCCAACCAAGTCAATTGAGCAGGATGTCAGGAATAAATCAGGAAGTGTTTTGCCGTAGAGTGTGTGGAAAGTGTGAGCTTTTCTTCAACATTTAGTGTTAGCCAAACAACAGGTCTGTAGGTAGACTCCTCCAGCTGTGGCCAATCGCACTTTGTCAAAATCCCCACCAGCCCCTGTGCAGCCATCTCTGTGTGCATCTGTGTGTGTAAATGGTGTTTTCAAAGAGAATCCATCAGCATCTGCTGAAGAGAAAAGAAAGACATCCTTCAGGAATGCAAATAAAGGGTTGCCTGCTGCAACATCAAACAAATCCTGTAGGAAATTATACAAATGTGATGCTTGTTTTTTGTGTGGTCAAAGGAAAGCTGGGTTTAAAGCTGACTGTTTACGTAAGCCACCGCAATCTGGTTTCAAGTAAAACAACAAAAGCTAATTCCAAAGGATGAGGTGGCTGCCTCTGGTACTTGGAGACATGTGGTCGGGTAGAGCTGTTTTCACCAAAAGACGCCTCCTGGCTGCCATGTAATTTTTTATCTTTGTAAACAGGAAAGGCAGGGAGGCATAACCACTAGTAAAAGAAATACAATTCCTGGAAAAGTGCTTTATCTTAAAGGCATTAAAATCAATCATTTTGGGACTCAAAAACGAAAAAAGTATTACGACTTCATTCAACAAAATGACAGCATCTAGTGTTTACGCATTCTCAGTCCTACACCTTGTTTTTTCACTTGGTTGCATGTTTTCCATGCAGAAACCTTGATCTGCTTTAAGGTTTTAGAGACTGTAGGGTATGTCTCTCACTAAGATGTGGTGAAATTTTATGTCTACTTTGGTGCCATGTGTTCATTTCTACCCCAGTAATCACAGGTGCCTTGCTATGCGCTTACTCTGGCTGCATGGAAGACTTAGGAGAATTGTCCAGCTCCCGCCAGTGGCCAGTACTGCCCGTGGGGCTCCGACAGGTCATCTTAGTCAACAGCGTTGTTCTCCGAAGGCTGCCATCTGAATCCTCATTCTTAAAGTCAGTGTTTATTTTGTGGCAGCAGGAGAACCAGTGCACAAAATCCTGGAAGAGGTGACCACTGAAGATCATATATATCCATGGGTTACAGCAGCTATTGAGACTGGCAAGGAGTGCAGACAGAGTCACTGTTGTGTTCTCAGATTCTAGAGAACAGAGAGAAGATAGAGGAAAACGATTAATCCACAAAACATCTGGTACAGACTGGGCAGCAGAAATGCAGGAAGTTCATCTGGTGGTCAAATTTAAAGAAGAGAAAAAGTGTAAAATGTGCAAGTTCAAAAAGTTTATTTGTTACAAAAGTTATTGTTTCTGTTTTTAAAAAGGCTTATATACTTTTAAACTGTAATTTTCTTGATATTAGTGACGTCATCTTATTGCTGGACATCGAATCTGTTGAAAATAAGTTCATAAAGCAAAAGCAATGTTTTTGTTTCATGTTATAACATTTTGAACAAAAGGTACGGTATGATAAATGTGATAAATGATCTGCTGCCTCGTCTTATTGTTGAAGGCTCACAGTAGAGCATTCTGTCTATTCTGGTTTTAATTCCGACATTTACCCTCTTTATGCACATTTTGGCATGGCGCATCAAAGCGCGCTAAAACCGTGCGTACTTGGGTTTTACTTTGATGAGTTTTTCATTTAGTGGCAAGTGACCAAGTGTTTTATCTACGCTGGTATTCTTTGGCCGAACATCATACATCTGTGGGAATTTTAAATGAAGTTACGATTAATAAATTATTGTTCCATTGCTTCAGAACTCACCATCCCACTGGAAATTTTCATCCCAGACAGACCACATCTGCACTATGAAAAACGGCGCCCAGCAAACAATGTACGCCAAAACTATGACAAACGTCATTTTAACGGTCCTCAGTTTGGCTCTTGATATAGTTGTGACGCTGCTGACCGAATCCTTCCCAATTAGCCCGTTTTTGTTTGTAGCACCAGCCCTTCTTTTCTTGAATCTGATGTTTTTCCATATGCTGTGGCAGATGAACCCGTAGCACACCACGAGAATGACCACGGGCACGAGGAAGATGCCCACAGTTATCCAGGTGATGTATGCCTTGGCGCCCCAGGGTTCGATAAAGTGCGCCCAGCAGTCGTACACGTCAGAGCCATTCTTGATCTCACTCAGGGAGAAGATAAAATATTGCGGCGTGCTGAGCACAAGGCTGCACATCCACGTGGAGATGATCATAATGTAGGAGCGCTGGGTGGGCTGCTGTAGGGTTTTCAGGGGGTGGCAGATGGCGATGTAACGGTCCACGGTCATCATCACCATCATGTACGTGGATGCAAACATCCCCATCACCTGGAGGTGCTTCACTATCCTGCAAAGAAAGTCTGGGCCGTAGAAGCGGAAGGTGATCTCCCAGCAGAGCTGCGGTAGCACCTGGAAGAAGGCGACCACCAGGTCAGCCAGGCTGAGGTGTTTGATGAAAAGATGCATCCGCGACATCTTCTTCTTGGTGTTGTATATTCCCAGAAGGACGCTCACATTTCCAATCACAGCAACCACGAAGGTGATGCTCAGGACCATGATCTCGATCTGGGCCACCTCTTCGTTTCTCGCAAACGGATCAGATCCGTTCGGGTGAACGGTTATGTTTCCAGGCATTCCCATGGTTAGGTCATTAGTGAGACTGAAAACCAGAGACTGGATCCCTCCGCTCAGGAGCAGCGCGTAATCAGGAGTGTGATGGCACTGTCCGTGTGTGCGCCCTAGCAGATACAGTGCCAGAGGGACTGTGAAGTTCCTCTCCAATCCGTATATAGCTCCACCTGATGCTCACAGACGGAACCTGTTGCCGTCTGTCTTGTGGCTGTTGTCCGGGCTCTAACAACTGGAATCAGATTTCACACAGCATGTGTGTATGACGAATACACTGCAAAAAATAATACACCTTAAAAACATGATTTGGCGGTAATCTCTAAAATAAACGTTTCTACAGGCAAGATATGTAACATAAACAAAGAGGATTAATATTTGTAATATATTTATATTTTCATGTTTATTTGTGTGAAAATGCATTTTTTTGAAATCTTTGGACACTTTTAAAGTTCATTATGATAGGTAATCGTTTTTTGCAGTGTGCAGCCAAGCCCTTCTGGGCGGTGTACACAAACTCCACAAACCGTTTTTCCCACTGTTGGCATGGGCCACATGTTTATAAAGCAGTTTTGTGTGCAATGTGTCAATACAAATCACAACAGCAAAATTTCAAGTGAGTAAGTTGTTTAGCCTGCTGTTTACCTAAGCAGCTTATAAATAACAAGTGTAATATAACGCAATAGTTATATTTTATGGTGTTTCCAGCAAGTGCAAAGGAAATTTTGTAAATGCCATATTCCCCTAACTTTGAGTGGAAGCATCCCTTTTTGTAAGGTGAGCACAATTATTATGATGCAGCATTTACCGGACAAATACCATAAGATTTTTTTTTATTTCAGTAGCTAGATCCCATTGGAGCAAAGTTAGAAATTATTTTGACTTGTAATTTGTCTTATCCATCCATGAAATCCATCAAACATCCTCTCCATATGCTGTATATTTTAAGACACTTCTTCTTTCGTTAATAATGTGTCTGATTTAATTGTTTCCACAAAAAAACTCAGTTACCTAGTTCAAAAATTGTAAAATATTAGGCTAGGCCCACACATTCTACCTCTCTGAAAAATCCAGAATACATTGCAAATACTTTCCATTTCAGAAGTTCATTAAAAGTCATTTGCTTCAAATGTTATCAGCCCATTAAGTGGCTGTTGTCAGTTTGTCCATTCTCAGTGTATGACCACTAGAGGTTTCAAGTTTCCACGCTGCACTGCTACAAGTTGCACTGGACTTTATTGTATTGGACTACGACCAGTTGTGGCATTACAAAATCATGTTTAACTGCACATCGTAGACACAGATTAAAGATGAGCACAATAAAACTCTGAACAGAACAGAGAAATTTGACCTTTTTTGGCAGATGAATGGGAAAACTCTGCACATGCCATTATTATGTATGATGGATGCAGTTCTTTGTCTTGGTATCTTTAACGATGCCACCTCAGTGTCCACAGCAATCACAATTGCTCACTACAGTTTCCATTGCACAAGCACAATAGCAGCAAATGATTACCAAATGGTTGTGGGTATTTGGCAGCTATTCAGCTCGTCTGATCCATGTGCTGATAGCGAGGATGGTTATCTTTATTGCATTCACATTGCATTCATCATCCAGATTAGCTCTCTTTCATTTCCTGGTGATGCAAATTGGAGCTCCCCTCCTAAATGTCCTGCTGGCTGGTTTAATGGTATATTGAAGTTTTCTGAATTATGCCTGTATCGGTCTCTGCTAATCTTCACATCAGAACCACAATGGGAACATTTCAGATCCCACAGGCTTCTGTTGACTAACTAGCCAGCCTCGTCTCATGGGAGCCCTCTTTTCTATCTGATTTCTACTCTCTCCTCCACTTTGCTACAGTTTTGTCTAATTGCTGGGGCTTAAGGTCTGCAGCACAGATGTCTCCCTTCACACAGGCCTTTACTGCCATCTCTTCTTTTTGAAATGTTCACCAGAGATGTTCTGTGCTGTTATTACAGCTTCAGTCTTGTTTGGTCTCCTCTGCTTCATGACACCACCATGTGCACCATCTACAACTGTGGAGTGTTTGTTTGGGCCCAGGAATTGTGGGAATGCGTTTTGTGTGGTCAGGCAGTCAGAGGGGTCAGTCTTATTAGTTTCTGATTAATTTCCTCAGGGGCTTAAGGTTTTGTAAGAGTTGCTCAAATTCTCTGGGAAGACTGATGTTTTAGCATTCAGAAGGGAATTCACGGCCTATTTTTAAATGTTTTACTTTGTCAAATCTTCATTGTATCTCTCTAATTTTAATTACAAAACAGAAAAATTTCTAAAAGTTGAACATTATAACACCCTTTCAGTTTGTCACACTACCTAAATGACATATACTGTGCGTTTGGCAAACACAGTATTCAGGTTTATAATCATGAAAATCCAAACCAAGTACATGTTACAGTAGTTATGGATGAGATCATGAAAACCATAGTGTAGCTGCTTTTATTTGAAGCCAATTACCTTCTGTATGTCTGAATACGGTAGACAACGGTGGCCTATATATTGACTAGTAAAAATGAATTACAACATGAAAAGATCTAAAAAAACAGTTAAGTGAAGAACCGATTTTGATTTTTCTTTATTTCAGTATATTGTCTGGTTGTTTAGTTCAGGAAATTATTACCATGATATCAAATTTGTGTCAACATTTCCTTTTTTTCACCTTGATACTGCACCAACACATAAAATAGGTCCATAATTAGTTTTTCCACTTTAATGTGGCAGAACCTGCCTGGCCTGCACAGAGCCCTGACATCAGCAATGCCTTTTGGGAAGAAATCCCTGCAGCCAGGTCTCAAAATCATTTGTAAAAGACTTTAAAAGACTTGTTTTAATGAAACAAATGAATGCTTCTGGTTTTGGAATGGGTTGTTCAACAATCACACACAGGTATGAAGTTTGGATGTTTCATACTGAAATGAGAACAGTGTTTAATAAAAATGGCCACAGAGAAAAGGTGGATATCCATAATTGTGAAACAAATCAAAACCAAATACACTTCTATTACACATTTTCTACAAAAACTGCATATAATAAGCTTAACAATGACAATGTTTATGACAGGACTAGCATCCAGTTATTGCTTGCTCTGAATCTGAGATCACTTCAGGTAAAAAGCAGGAAAAAACCCAACACCAATATCAGATATTGTTGCATGGTTTTGTTCACTTTCTGTATAACCTTACACAAGCCTGACAAAGTTGTTATGTGTTCTGTCTAACACAATGTGACACAAGTCATTTTATGATAATTGGGCTTCAGGTGAAAGCAAATACATTTTTCTGTTATCATAAGAATATAGGGGTGTTCTCATTTCATTTGTCACATCTTCTCAACATCAGACATACTTGGATGTGATTTTAAACTAACAAAATAATCACTGCCCCTCCTTGAACCGCCACCTTATTGTGGTGGAGGGGTTTGAGTACCCGAGTGATCCTAGAAGCTATGTTGTCGGGGGCTATATGTCCCTGGTAGGGTCTCCCAAGGCTTACAGGTCCTGGGTGATGGGTCAGACTAAGAGCGGT